AGTTGAGATATTTGAGGGAGGACATTACTTCTGACCACGACTGTACATGCAATATAATCAGCTACCCTTCGTATTAGTGTAATACCTTATCAAGTCCAGAACCTCGACTTTCCATCGGCTATTGGCCCAGAACAGATGTTGGGAATATCGTATCAAGAGTAAAAGAAATTTCCAGTATTCCGGTTGTTTTTCGTCCGTCAATTGCGAAAGTAATTTTTAACGTGTGTCGCACTGGTAAGACATTAGTTTTGACAAATTGAAGAGCGATGAGAACTATGCGCAATGGGAATTTATTGAATATGTTGGCGTTCCCGCGTACGCGTAATAAAGTGCGTGAAACCTGCTCTAGACCATCGACATATAACAAATGAACTGCTCGTGCTAATGCTAAGCACGGATACTGCAGGTGAGAGAGAAGCGAAAACTAAGAGGGCAACTCTTACGGTTACGCATCTGATTGGTTCTTTCAACATAAGCGATCGCAATTTCATTCAAATTAAATTGAAAGAGCCAATCAGATGCGTAACCGTAAGAGACACTTTGCCCTCTTAGTTTTCCCTTCTCTCTCACCTGCAGTATCCGTGCTTATCTTGGACACGCGCAGTCTATTTATTGTATGTCATTGCTCTAGACACAGAAAAATTCTGACAAATTAGAACGAGCAATTGGACGGCCTTTTCTCGCGTGTGAAGATAAAGTCAAAAACTTTACTTCGGAAAGACCGATCCGCTGCGAAAAAAATTAAAAAAGAAATGCAAATTTCACCACTTTTCCAGGGGTGGCTCCCAAACGCAACACGTTGAACCCTCGGTTTATTTGGAAAAAATGCTTGTTTTCATCCGTTCTACCACAATTTTTTTTTACATACTGTATGTACCACCCTGTAGAAATGAAGAGGTCAGAGAAGGTTTATATGAATTTCAACGATTTTGCTTTAATGGTTGGTTATTACTGCCCGTACAACATGGAAATGCCTTGCTGTATTTGAAAGTTCTGGCGGAAATTGTTGACTTCAAGCCGTTTAAATTTAAATAAAAAATATTCCGAGCAATTGCTAACTTAAAATTTAAAGTGTAGCCCGTGGACTTTTTTTTTCAAAAACATGTAGTAGAGCTTGAGCTTCATTTATCTGTGTGTTTTTTCTTTTTCTCTTTTTTATTAATTAGGCCTCGACCTAGGCATTTAGAAAATGATTGAAATATTTTTCAGCCTGTTCATTTGAGATAACAGACATCTGGTGATAAGAAATTTTTACAACGAAACATATGTTCATCTTTCAATACTGAAAGCCGGTACAGTGTAAAGCTTATTTTTACTACAACAAAAAGAAAGGAATCAAGTGAAGAAAATCAATGGTATCAGAGGTATAACCTCGTCGAAATGGTCAGTAAATGTCGAAACACGTGCACAAAGTCATTAAAAAAATGTTCCTACCTGAGGTATGCAAAAGGTTAAACTAGCAGCCCACGCCAACCAAACCATTACCTTGGACCTTCGCGAGGTCCACGAACAGTACGTTAACGGATAGCAGATCGCTTGATGCCTGTCGATCGCCGTTGCCATCAAAATGTAAGCACTCAGGTAAGGTCCAAGCGTTTGTCCAAATTTCACAACCTTGCACAAAACGACTCCGCCGTTAAACCTGTAGGTCACCTCCCAACCCAGCTGCGGAAGCACACTTAGGAACGCCGTAATCAAATCGGCGACGCTCAAGTGCAGTATAAAGAAGTACATCCTTGACAGCTTCTTTCTTCCGGCGTACCTTCTTCGGGTCCATAACGCGAGTAGAACCGTTCCGTTTCCCAAAACCGTGACGAGGAATATAATCGCAAGAGTTGCAATTTCTATTTTTGCCAAGTTTTCATCTCTGTCCACGGTTGTGTTCTCAACATCAACGGTTGGTCCCGATCTTGTGATATTTTCAATCGTTCCATTCATGACGATATGTTCCACTAACATGAGCATGCATTTGTTTCGAAACTACCTGCAAAAAATAAATGACATCAGTAACGGATTAATGTAGCTACACGGATCTTATGAACAACATTTAAAGTTGCAGTTTAGTAGCAGCATAGCGTAACAGTAAGTTGGTGTTCTGGAGAGTATATACCTACTCCATGATTCCCATATAAATTCAATTCAATAAATTTTAACTAATACGTTAGCTCCAGATCCCTTTAACGGCAAGGGTATATAAAGTAAAACAAATTATTGTCATTCTTATTAAAAATGAGACGTGGCGCACGAAATAAGATGAAGTTCAGAAAAAAATACAATATTGTTTTCATGGACACGACGGAATAACCTAACCTTGCTATTTTGCACGTCTAAATTGAATCTACAGAATTTTCAGAAGTTACAATGATTTCTATGACTTCTGCTATAAAATAAAGTATTATACACGGCGATAAGGGGAACCAATCATGTCGTGAAAGTCAATTCACTCATGGCTACGCCACCCGTGAATTAACGTCGTTCATTCGATGGAAAAAAATACTTTTTTTCACTACTAGCGTCTGATGACATGATTATTAACCTTTTTTCCACTTGTAAAGTAGGCTTTCTCGGCATTTGTTCAAAGTGGTTAATAATTTTTTATTATTAACTAGTAGTCAATAATGAGAACTGTCACGCTGTCACTTTTAGAAAACACAACCCGAAATTTCGCTCAATGAACGTTTAGACAAGTTCTCTAAAACGATTGCCACCATTCGCAATTTCCAGAGAAATTACATACCTAAAATTATCACATTTTGAAAAAATCGAACGAAATTACTCTTTGAAAAATCTCAATGACAGAACAAAATACGGCTTGTTTGACTTGTACTTCCATGTACTTGATTGACATGTTAAATTAAGAAACAAACAATTCTGTCCAACCGTTAACTCTCTTATCAATATAATATGTTAATTTAGAGGATTTCAAGTGCTAGTAGTGAAAACAAGTTGTAAATCAGCATATGCATGATTAAAGCGCATTTTTGGTAATGCAGGTCAGTATTTTATTAGCGAAGTTTAAAATTATCGATCTCACGAGTAATTTTGGCTGCGTTAAATAATTAATTTTATTTAATTTCAATTGACGGTACGTCTTCATTTTGTAAAACAAATCACAAAGTAAATAATAAGTTTTTATACTGGTAGCGCTATCTAACGGTAAAATTATAGCACCTCCGAAACCCATATCGAAATTATTTTCTTCAATTATCGATCTCACAAGTAATCTAACTCAAAATAGACTAGTGCCTGCACATCTACACTATAGCAGAAAGCTTTTAGTGAAAATTTGAATTCTCTAGCTATTGTAGTTGTGGAGATCTCACGCGGACAGCCGGCCTGCCAGCCATAACGAATATAATAGCGTATTTTTTTCAAAAATGCGCTAAAAATAGTATATATACCACGGTAGAGAAGTCTATTATTGCCTTCGCACCTTACACCTTCGGCGCAAGCGCCTCGAGATGTAATCTTGGTGCTCAGGCAATAATAGTGGACTTCTCTACCTTGATATACCGGGTGATTCATTAGAACTGAGGACAGTTTGAATGTCCCGCAAAACTAAAAATTTTAAAGGTTGGTAATAACAGAATATCATTTGTCTAATTCCAGTGGTGTATGTAGAATCACTTTCCAAGGGTAATAATTTATTTTTAATTTACAAATAAGTCTCCCATTTTACAACAAATTTTACATTTGCACTAAGCACAGTCACGATATTAAAATTGTATTAAATGAACTATAAAAATTGCTCAAAATGTCCACCATTGTGTTCACGGCACAATTCCACTCTACGCTTCATATTGTCAAACACTTTCTCCAGAGTTTCAGGTGAAATTTTTTCTAGTTCCTCAATAATTGCTGCTCGTAGTTCATCAAGAGTATGTTGAATAAGACACTCCTGTAATTCGAAAATAAAGTTAGTAGGTATAAATTCATTCTACGTGTACCACTTACCAGCTTGGGCACTTAACTGACGGATTGACTTTTTGGGACTCGCCTCCATTCGTTGTCTGACATCTTGGACCACTTCATCGTTTCGTAGTAATGGACGACCGGTATGTTTTTCTTTACAAATGCAATTCTTGTTTTCAAATCGGTCCACAATTCGTGTCTTATGATTGGCAAATGCTTTATAAGAAATAATAACATCGGGATACTCTTCCATAAATTGCTCTCGACAGGACCGGAACGAATATGACCACGTTCCATCTTCATTACGTACAGCACTTCGAAAATGAGCCTTCAAAATAAAGGCATCTTGTTCTTGTGTGAAGGGCATCCTCAAGAAGGGTTTTTTTTAACCTACAAATGCAAATTAGTGTGATTTAACCGTTACTTAATTACTTACTTCAACAAACTCTTGAATTTACAGCGTAGCTCTGAAAAGAACTGTTTTTAAGAACGTTGATAATACAGTTTGCAAACGTAAATTAAAAACAACAACAAATTAACGAAATAACGATGGCACTGGTGACTAATATGAAGTAGTAAAATAACTAAAAATATATCATCGCCAATTCAATCACGTAAAAAACACTAGAATTGTACGCGCGAAATTCAAACTGTCCTCAGTTCTAATGATTCACTATTATCGTCTTATGTAATAAATAACTATTATCTTGTTGTGCATTACACAATTTGTGTATAAGAAATAATATATCAGAACCAGAGGATAACGTGTTTTTTAAGGTCAACACGTTGCAGATCACCAAAACATAATAAATGAAGATTTAGTTGCAGGTCGAGCCCTTAGGGAAGCAATTATGACTAAGTTCTATAGAGAAAACTCATTTATTGTAAATAAACATACATAGTTCGTTGTTTTCACGTCTCTTCTTTAGTACTATATTTTTGAAATATTCTAGAGAATAGGATAAACTAATAACATGTTCAAAAATAAGATTTAATAAAAAAACAATGTTCATTCTTCAATACCAAAATGCACAGTAAAAAAAATAAATAACATCCGCTTATCACTCTTTATTAAGAGCCACTTCCCCGTTCCTATCCGGTTGAATTATTATATTACACTCACTGACACCTATGGGATTACCGCCACACTGTTTGAATCTTAAGCATGGGATTACCGCCACACTGTTTGAATCTTAAGCAAGGATGTTGCGTCACATTGTTACGAAATTTAAATCCAAAGCATGGCCTTTGTAACGGGACGAGACTGATTGTGGAATCACTTGGAAATAATATTATAGAGTGCAGCATATTTTCTGGACATCGTAAAGGACAGAAAGTTCTAATTCCGCGAATACTAATTGACTCATCAAAAACGGTTTAAATTTAGTGGAAAGCATTTTCCTCTTCGTCTTGCTTAATTAACAAAATCGCAAGGACAAACGTTTGAAAGGATTGGTGTGTACCTTCCTCAACCTGTTTTTACACACGGACAATTGTACACAGTATTTTCGCGCGTCATTGTAAAACTTGGATGGCAAACGTACTGTTTCTTTCAAGGTTAATTCAACATAATGCAACGTAATATTTTTACTCGATCTGAGTGGGTTTAGTTTTACTTTTATTTCACATCACTTTTAGGAGTAAAAAACGAATAAAGAAACTGACAGTAAAAGTAATTTTTAATAAATCTGTTTATTGTAAATTAGTAAACGTTGTTAAATTTATAGTGTTGATTTAAATGACGAAATAGAACAATTTATGGAATAAAGTAGCTTAACACAAATTGAAGGTAAGTCAAATACTTTTAAATACAATATTGGTTAGTTGATTGAGTTGATGATGAAACCGGCATGGTTTAGTTAATGATGAAATCTTGGCAAATTTTTAAAAGTGTTTAAATTACAGAAAACTATGAATTTGACACCGCCTGTAGCCAGTTCATCAAAAACTCCAACAAGCGAAGAACGGAAGGCACGAATGAGAGAATACAGCCGTAAACGTCAAGCAAATAAAAGTGATGCGGAAAAAGAAGCCGATAAGCTAAGGTCGCAACGACAAAGATTAAAAATGACCCCAGAACAACAGAAAGCAGAAAAACGAAGACTTCATTTAAGAAACGAAAGTCAAAAGCTACAAAGAATGAAATTACCCCCGCCATCTAAATATGTTGCTCGAAATCCGGATAACCGGCCTGACGAACACTATTTGGGAACAAAAAGTTTTAAATGCGTACATTGTGGAGCTTTACATTTCAATGGAGAAAAGACATTTAAAGGACATGTTTCTCATTGTTGTGAGAACGGAAGTGTAACATTACGACAACTGAATGATTATCCTTTGGAACTACGGGAATTAGCTACCCAGAGCACCGAAAACGGCAAAAATTTTATGAGAAACGTACGGAACTTTAATAGCGCCTTCGGATTTGCATCATTTGGGCATCAACCAGTTAAACTTCGTGGTGGTCCTCCAACGTTTGTCATCCATGGTCAAGTCTACCATCGCACAACAACATCCATTAAACCCAGGTACGTTAAATTAATTATGGATTATTTGTTTTCAATTGACGGAATGTAAAACTCGAGAGAACGGTAATCAAGTACGGAATGAACAAAAAATGCAACTTTGGTTGTATCCATTATTTATTTATAGTGACAACTTCGACAACAAAGAAACAGAACCATCCTATGCTCAACTTTACTTTTTGGATCCCGAATATGCAAATAACATGCGGTCTCAGAACACACACAACGAGGGATGCAGAAAAGAAGTTTTTGATATTATTGAAAAAGTCCTGCGACGTAATCCATTTGCCGAAGCCTTTAAAATGATGAAAGATCTCATGGATATAAATCAAAATACAATTGAAATGTGGATTATTAAGGATAGACAACATGACCCTCGCCGATACAATTTGCCTGTAGCAAACGAAGTTGCTGCAGTGTTTGTTTCTAAAGATGGGGAACCTGGATTTAAACGAGATATGGCTGTTTATGATAAGGGAACTGGACAGTTGCAAAATATCGATATATTTAGTCCAAATTGTGATCCTATGACCTATCCAATTATGTTTCCGTTTGGCGATGCAGGATGGCAGCCTGGAATTAAGAAAGCTGACGAGACAAGAAAGGTTGTAAATATCTCCATGCTGGAATTTTATTCCTACCGGATGCAAGAACGAGAGTCTTTTAACCCAATCCTTCATTTAGGCAAACTGACGCAAATGTATATTGTGGATGCATTTTTGAAAGTCGAAGGTGGACGGTTAGTTTGGAATAAAACAAATCAAAAGAAATTGCGAGTTGACATGTACAGCGGCCTTATGGATTACGTACACAACCAGGCGGAAATAAAGGATTTAAAGCCAGGACGAATTGTTATTTTGCCATCCAGTTTTACAGGAAGTAAACGCGCTCTAACTCAGAATTATCAGGACGCAATGGTCATAGTTGGGAAATACGGAAAGCCAGACTTATTTATTACTTTCACGTGCAATCCCACATGGAAGGAAATCCGCGACGAATTAAAACACAAAGAAACAGCAATTGATAGACCGGATTTGGTTGGGACCGTTTTTCATTTGAAGCTAAAGGAATTTATTAACGATTTGGTGTCTAACAAGGGAGGAGTTTTTGGAAAAGTAAAAGCGTTTATTTACACAATTGAATTCCAAAAAAGAGGTTAGTACATTTTTAGTTTCATTTTAAAATCTTCTAACCAACTTTAATGGAATGATTAAAAATGAAAATTTAATGTGTCTATTGCTGCAGGTTTGCCCCATTGCCACATGTTAGTTATTCTTGACGATGAAGACAAATTTCGCGAAGCCGCTGATGTTGATAATGCAGTTTCTGCTGAGATTCCGGATCCTGTTGCTGACCCAGTTCTATTTCAAATAATAACGTCTTGCATGATGCATGGCCCGTGCGGTGAACTTAAAAAAGATGCCCCTTGCATGGAAGAGAACAAAGGGCATATTTCCTGCATTAAAAAATTTCCAAAAGAATTCTGCGATGAAACAAATATTAATGTAAACGGCTATCCAATTTATCGTCGCAGAAACTTGGACCGTACTGTGGAAATAAAAGGAGTAAAACTAGATAATCGGTGGGTAGTCCCGTACAATCCATACATGTCGCGAAAGTACAATGCTCACATTAATGTTGAAATATGCTCATCAATCCAGAGCATAAAATATATTTTTAAATATATTTACAAAGGCCATGATGCCGCCATTGTTCAAATGAATGAAGCAACGGGCTCTGGAACTTATCATTGGGATGAGGTCAAGATTTATTTAGACACGCGTTATATAGCAGCGCCGGAAGCTATGTGGAGGTTAAAAAAATACGAAATGTCCGGAAGGTCCCACTCTGTTGAGCGATTACCTGTTCACCTCCCGCTTGAGCAAATGGTATATTTTGAAGAGGGCGCTGAGCGTCGTGATTTGGAAGCTGCTGCCAAAAAGGGGACCAAATTAACGCGATGGTTCCAGTTAAATGCAAACGACGTAAATGCACGGAAGTACTTATACTGTGATATACCCTACCACTATGTTTGGAGATCCAACCATTGGCAGCCCCGGAAACTAGGTGGAGATAAAGTAGTTGCCAGGATGTACTTTGTAAATTTAAAGGATATGGAAAAATACTGCCTTCGGCTTTTGTTGCTTCATGTTCGAGGTAAGAGTTAAAAATGGATTTAACAAAACTTACATTTTTTGTTTATTCCATAAGATTAATAATATAAATCAAAATCTTTATTTAATTGACAGGCGCCACATCCTATGAAGATTTACGAACTGTGAACGGAAAACTTCACGATACATATCAGGAAGCTGCTAAAGCTATTAACCTTTTAGACGATGATGAAGAGTGGGACAAAGCCATGGACGAAGCTGAACTTTTTCGAATGCCACGAGAATTGCGTCTACTTTTTGCGACAATATTAATCCAGGTTCATCCGAGCACCTCTTCGGAATTGTACTTAAAATACAAGACGTCGTTAATGGAGGATTACCTACAGAACCACAGTGAGTATATGGCAGAGCAACAGGCGCTGAGAGATATTCAAGAGCATTTGATGCAATTTGGAAAATCGTGCAAAGACTATGGACTTCCAGTTCCAAAAGACGGCTATCACATTTTGGAAGAAGTTGACGCTGTACACGAGCAACAAGAAGCTGATCGATTGGTTACAATGATGAACGACAATGCAGAGCAATTGCTTGCTTACAAAACTATCATGGATTCTGTAAACGGCATCTCAGAAAACAAATGCTTTTATCTATCTGGAGCAGGAGGATGTGGAAAAACGTTTGTATATAAAGCATTAACATCAACAATCCTTGGAAATGGAGGAACGGTCAAATCTGTAGCTCCAACAGGTTTAGCTGCAACGTTGCTCAAAGGTATTTGAATGAAAACAACAAAGTGTACCTGAAAATGTAAATTCACTATGACTTTTATTTTAGGTGGAAAAACCGTCCATTCTGGCTTTGGCATCCCCATCAATCTTGATGAAACAACTACATCGCGTTTTAAACAAGGCACAAACTCATGGAGGGAACTCAAAAATACAAAGCTAATTATATGGGACGAAATATCAATGTGTCATGCTCATCTTTTGAACGCTGTTGATAGAAGCCTACGATTTCTGATGAACTGCGATGATCCGTTTGGCGGAATTGTTATAGTGGTCGGGGGGGATTTTCGCCAACAGGCACCTGTTGTTCCGCATGGAACTCGGGTCCAGATTGTGGAAGCATGCGTGAAAAGCAGCCCGGTTTGGAAACATTTCAAGGAGCTTAAACTGTTACAAAATATGCGACTAAACCAAGGCAATGCAGTATTTGGAGAATGGCTCTTATCAGTTGGAGGTGGAGTTGATGCTGCAGCAAAACACTGTGATTTTGTTCAGCTAAGCAGTGATATAATTACTGACGATATTGTCAAATCTGTTTACGGAGAAAATATCAATACGTTGTCCTCAGATCGTCTTGCGTCAATGGCTATTCTATGCCCAAAAAATGCGGACACGCTATTAATTAACGAAAAAGTTTTGGCCATGTTGAATGGCGAGCAAAAATCATATTACAGGTAAATACGAGAACATTTAAAGTTTTTTTTACATTATTTTACCGCTAAACTAACTGTGATAATATTTTAGCATTGATAAGGTCGCCGAATGCGAAAGTGAGGAGGAGGAGGCTCAGTATCCGGTTGAATTTTTGCACTCACTGACACCTATGGGATTTCCGCCACACTGCTTGAATCTTAAGCAAGGATGTTGCGTCACATTGTTACGAAATTTAAATCCAAAGCATGGCCTTTGTAACGGGACGAGACTGATTGTGGAATCACTTGGAAATAATATTATAGAGTGCAGCATATTTTCTGGACATCGTAAAGGACAGAAAGTTCTAATTCCGCGAATACTAATTGACTCATCAAACACGGACCTTCCATTTAAATTTAGTAGAAAGCAGTTTCCTCTTCGTCTTGCTTACTCGATTACTATAACAAAATCGCAAGGGCAAACGTTTGAAAGGATTGGTGTGTACCTTCCTCAACCTGTTTTTACACACGGACAATTGTACACAGCATTTTCGCGTGTCAAAAGTCGGGATGGCCTATTTGTGCAAATTGTTGACGGGAATAGCCAAGGAAAAATTTACGAAGAAGACGACGCCGTTTATACATATAACTGTATTTACCGAGAAATTCTTTAATGCCTACATATATACGTTTGCGTACCCAGTAATGTAAAACTTGGATGGCAAATGTGCTGTCATTGTTTAAAAAGTATTTAAACAATGGTGCTGTTTTTCTTTCATGGTTAATTCTACGTAATATTTTTACTCGATCTGAGTGAGTCGTTGTCTGTAAAATGCTTAGTCCGCGGTTTAGTTTTACTTTTAAAAGAGTCGTGAATACATTAATTTCAGGTGCATTTTAAGTTCATTTCACATTTGTGTTACGTGAGTGAAGGATACAGGACAAGTTTAACTTTGAAATCGAAGTTTTAATTTAAGTTAGTCAGTGATAATCAATACGTTCCTACTTTTTTGTGATACTGATTAATTTTAGAAAAGTCAAAAAATGGCGCAACCAAGTGGTACTCAAGAAAGACGGTCAGGGGGATTTTCTGCGGCGCACTCGCATAATTTGCCAGTACTGACGGACAGATTCGATCGATTTTGTACTAATTGTAACGCGGTTATTGATTGTTTCGCGTTGGAAAAGTACCCCAACCAAAAATGTCGTGTTTGTCAAATAGAAATAGAATTCCTTGATAAATCCGATGGATTGTATCGTAGATGTGTACGCTGTTCTGTATTTTTGAGGTGTAAGTTAATATCCGAGTTGGTAAAATTTAAACACTTAAATGTGAATTTACTATTTTATATATATTTGTGTGTGCCTCTGTGATTTTTACAGGTACTGCTAAGTTCTGTTACCTATGTGGCCGTCCAAACCAACATTTTGATCCAGAGAAACCAGCGCGATTGGATACTGCGTTAAAATCAAAATTACGAGCTGAAATCCTCAATGAAATTGAAATTGAGAAGCTTTCACAGTCCTGTGTAAATGATGGGGAATTCGATGGAAATAATTTTGAAAACCCTGAAAATCCAAATTCTGAGCCTTCAACTCAAACGGAAACTGATGCCGCTAAAAATTAGAGTTTAACTAGCTTCAAATTTTTAAATAAACTGAGTTTTAAAATTATAAATTTATAATAAATTAATTTCGATTACCTACCTGTTATTTAAAATTGAGTTTCCAAGGAAGCTTAACATATGATTCATTGCAACTTCTCTGCACGCTCAACTTTGACGTAAGTAAAAATCACTCATCACTGTAATAAACTTAATTTGATTCAAGAGTCGCATTTTAACAACACCAAAAGAGTGATACTTGAAAAGCTCTGATTTGCCGCTTTCTGAGTTTTCGATGGTAGTGTATAGTTGTGAATGCACTTTCAAGTAGATGATGAATTTGTTTCAATTGTATTGAGTGGGCGATGAACTACATATTATAATGCTAGCTATTAACAAAGTTTTAATTTTAACATGCAAATATAGGACTGCAAGGCGTCAGCTTGCATAAACAGCTTGTATAAAATAATTTATAGATATTTGTATAAACAAAAAATCACATTTAACAAATATTTAACTACCTACCATACCAGTCTTATAAATAAAGGAATCAAAAGCAATACAAAAATAAGTATAAACAAAGTCCAGGTATTAAACATAAAAATCATTTCATAATAAAAGTTTTTGTTGCAGAAAGTGGAAAATCACATTGTATTTATAAAATACGTAGGTAAATAGTATCAGTCTTATTGTCAAGAGCATAAGAAAAGTTAAATTCAGGAAAAAACACGGTCACTAATAAAAAAAAATGGTTATCACTATCATATACGTATACATAATATACAGTCTGGTAGTATCACATCTCGTAGGCTCACAGAACAAGTCACATATTCTTTTTTTTAAGGACAGGAGAATTCTCCAAAATTGATAGCATTTTTTGCACACATTCAGTTTGTATTGTATCACCATTTTTGTGTGCCTTAAGTAATCAATTTTTACTTTATAATATTCAGATAACATTTGGGAATTTTCCTTATAGCTTTCCGTTAAATGTTGTTGTACCTTTAAGGAATTTTCCAATTTGGAAGATTTGGTTAATCTTCTAACGTTTATATTTGGACGACAAGGAAGCTCCTTTGCTATACCAGCATGATCCTGAAACAAATGTGGAGGATAAAACCCAAAACAAATATATTATTGTTATTTACTAGTTACCTCATTTAGGAGGTATACAGGGTGATTCCTATAGTACCTGCCACCGTTTGGGAGCGTATAGGGGGTGCCTAAGGGAGTATTTTGATATAGGACACTTGGGGTCGGAAATCTAAAATAAGGGCGCCAGAACCAAATTTATCTTCTGGAATTTCACGCCTGTATGTAGGCAACCCAACCGACCGACGTTTCGCGCGGAGCGATGCAGAGCGAGTTAGCGCGAGGCAGCGACATGGGAGGGAAGGAGGGAAAACGACAGTCAAAAGCAATAACGTTTACAAGTGTTCAACGTGGCCACCGTTGTTCTCAATGCACTTCCTACATCTAGCCAACTATTATTATACTATTGCCATAGTGTTTATTCACTTGATACGCGTCGTTGCAGACGGGATTTCGTGGGTTTAAACAAATTCTGATCAAGTGTCAGCCACACATCGCCGCCTGAGATCGCTCCGTGTGCACCGCCGGCCGGTTGGGTTGCCTACCTACAGGCGCGAAATTCCAGAAGGTAAATTTGGCTCTGGTACCCTTATTTTAGATTTCCGACCCCAAGTGTCCTATATCAAAATACTCCCCTACGCACCACCTACACGCTCCCAAACGGTGGCAGGTACTATAGGAATCACCCTGTATAGCAGTCGATGCATTGGGTTGATTTTCATCATAAGTATTCTCAACAGTTGGCACATCTACTTCACAGGAAATTTCCTCTGGAGGCAATTCAGTTAGATGATAAATTAATGGTACTGTTAACTTCATCGTAATTCAGTGTAGTTAGTTTATTTTATACTATAACCGAAATGTATTGATACGCTACATGCAAGTATTGAAGGAACTGGGAACCATAAACAATGATAATTAATTTAAAAATGTTAAGTGTTACAATTAATAATTTCTGATCTTATATTTTCTAAACCACAATATGTTAAATACATAAACGTACCTCAAAATCAAAAGACGTATCTATTTCAATACTGCCTGGAATACCTTCTGTAGCTGTGCTTGGGATCGTATGCAAAATATCTGCCGCTATCTGCGTAAACTCAATTATTTCAGATTCGCCTCCACCAGTTTTTCGCCATCTGTTTTTTTTTGCGTTGCAAGTTTGCTTTTACCTTTATTTTTTAAATCTTGCCATGTCTAAAAATAAGTTAAATTAACAACCTTTTACCTACACAAAATTTTCGTATTTTCGTTACTTACTTTTCTCCACTGCTTCCAATCTTTTATTGCCCCATTTGGTACATTATTTAGTTTTTGGGTAACTTCCTCCCAAAGACGTTGGGCATCTTTAAATGAAAATCTGTCTTTGAATTTGCCCGTAGGTACTTAAATTTTCATGCAGTCGGACAAACTCTTTTAATAGTTTCTTCTGGGCGTCAGTCACTGCCCTATTTCTTTTAGTGTCCATAATGCAAAACAAGTTCAAACAAAACAACAGCTGTGTCGATACAAATGTCACAACTGACAAATGACAGTTCAATTCTTGTCTGTGATTGGTCTGTTCATAAAGTTTGTCTGTGATTCGGGAATGCAGCTAAACTTAAACTTATCCCTATCGCGTACGATCATGACGTCATCGCAGCCGGTCACATCACATGCACATCACGGAGCATATCGACTAACTTCGGGAATCGATGTACTGGGCGGAATCGCCGATACAAGGCATTTACAAGACTACGCGTGTGCGTATGCAATGGGAGAGGAGTCTTGTGTACGTGTCGGAGATGTAGACCGGTACTCAACTGGTTGTAATTTGTCATATTTGAAGAAACATAAGTTAGGTTATAGTTCAAGATCGCACATAAGGTCAACCTTCGCTCATCTGTTTATCGAGTAAAATATATTTATTAGCAATCTTAAGGTTTGGATTTAGAGAATATAGGCAACTGGTGATGCACATGTAATTCAATGGGGTGTGCATTGCCTCAGAACTTCATTCACCATTCCATAAGCAAGGGGTGTATATGATCGGAAAAATATGCATTAGGTAGATAGATGTACAGAGCATAGTTTCCATACAATATAAACTGATATTTTGTCCATTAATATATGTTTAAAAAATCTAGAAAACATGCGTCAAAAGAGTTCATAGTTTAGGAATTAATTGCAAAAATTAGGGAGCATTTTAAGCAATACGAATGTATGGGATCGGTAGCGTGAATACTTATCTATATTTTGGCAATTTATGTGAAGCTCAAAAGTTTTCATAAAAAAAGTGGTGAATGAAGTTCTGAAAAATGGGCATGTAAACTGGAGAAACGGAAATAAACTACGCAGCTGTGACTAATATCGCGGTCAACAGTGTAGCTTCTTTCTCACAGAGGGTGCCACCAAGAGTTTCATGAAGTAGGTAAAAAATACGATAAAGATATGAAATAGGTACCTAAGCGCTTTTATCTTGCGATGGAGTTGTTCTTACTTTGTAACTAGGCTAGTACCGTTGAGCTAGTACTGTGTAATGGGGATAACAAAAGACAAAAATTTACGAGCAAAAAAAAACTAGCAGGCTATGTAAGTTGCCTATGTTAAATCATTTAGCGATTCTCTTTCAAGGTTAAACAGAGCCTGCTTGTAAAAGAATTTGCTGACAGCAAGAAAAAGATCGTTCACTGGTATATTTTTATTTTGTCAACTACTTGCTTCGAAATTTATTTGGTTTCTCTTTCCTATTCATTGCAAAAGGTAACCTCCTCTACCTATCGTTTTATGAAATAAATAATAGAAATGGGGATAGGTAACATTCCTTTATAACAAATATCAAAATTTTACGTTATTTTTAGAACAAAGGGCTGTTGTATATTGTTGTTGATGTCTGGCAAGTTGCGACCTTGTGTGGGTGTTTATTTGTAATGCGATTTGTTTGACCGTTTTCCTTATTCTTTATCTTTGCTTATTGCACTTTGCAGATTAAAATACCGTAATTTATAATCCATACCTTGTTGCAAATTAAATTTTTTGAACTTCAATAGTACCATTGAATAAAGCTCTTTATTCAATGATAGTACCTATTACATATTATTAGTATTAGTTTAGTCAGTTTAGTGTAATGTGTAATAATTGACCTATACAGGGTGATTCAAATTCAAAGGCCACCATGGGAATCTCGGGAACTGTAAGAGATAGGTAGTTTACATTTGACAAAGTTACCCTTGATGGTAACATCATCTAGTTTTAATAAGAAATACCGTTAATTCGTAAAAACGCAAGAAACTACTTACGTACGTTACTTAAGACAAAGGCAAAAAAGATGTTTTACAAGCATTAAAAACATTGATGTGTACATTTTTGAAATCAGAAAAAAATTCTCTATCAAATCACACAAAAAGTAAAAATTACTTCCATAAGAAACAAAGTTGGTGATAGTTAACCGGAGACGAAACGTCAAACTTCAAATTTAAAAGTAGCATCTTGTAGAGGGAGAAAAGTGGCCATAATAATGTGTCATTTATTATTAAATATCTTTGTAAATAACTATTAACTTCAGTAAAAAACAAAAACGATTTTCAAAATCTCGTTTTTTCCAGATATCTCCGAAAGTAGTCAGAATTTCAGTTTCAAAACTGTTTTTGTTAAGCATCAAAATACACAACTTTGCCAAATTTACCACCTATATCTATCTCTTACATTTCCCGAGATTCCCATGGTGGCCCTCGAATTCGAATCAGCCTGTCAACAGGGCCGGTGAAAGGCTATTTGGCGCCCTAGGCGAGATGTTCTCAGCGCGCCCTTCCGGAGGTTATTCCTAGGTACCAGTACCAGGCAAAAAATAGAAAGTGGCGTTCATAAATACTTTATTGTGTTTTCTTCAAATACATAATAACATAACGACATAACGTGTAGGCGATGTAGGTACCTATACAAAAACGCATATCCAAAGATATTAGGGTAGGGATATACACATAAAAAATCAAAAATTCATCTTCCTTGCCTTATTTCTCGCGAACTGCTGGACTATCTGTTCTAAATTTACATTCCATGCCTCCTTCGATTCAATTGAGATCATTGCCAAGTCCACGACCCTATTCTGAGACATTGTTGACCGCAAAAATGTCTTTATCAGCTTTAGCTTGGAGAAACTGCGTTCTCCGCTCGCCACCGACACTGGAAGCGTCATTAAAAAGTACCGGGAAGTTTTTTGGAGCCGCCGACGCGCTTTCGCTGAAAGATGTTACTTAATTTTGGCGCCCTCTGAAGCTTGGCGCCCCAGGCAGCCGCCTATGTTCGCCTTGTGGTTTAACCGGCCCTGCCTGTCAATTACTAATTTACAAAAGACCATCCCTCGAATGTAAGACATTGGGT